CAAATCCCATGAGTGAATTAAAGTTAAAATTTGAAACAACAAATGTGGATATAAACTTCCACTCAGATTTTTCCCAGTTGACCAGATTGCTATGAAGGTACTGCACCAACTACAATCAAGAGATGTTCCCAGTGATATCACCTGAAGTGGCTTCAGAATGATCAGACTTGTAGGTGTGAAATTTGAAGTTTTCAAAATATGTTTACAGATTACAAATATTTACACTTATGTTGGCATGCTTGAGTGATTTATTCTGGTAAAAGATGAAAATGTGTCAAAATCACAAAAACAGACTAAATTTTGTCATTTGGGAATAGTATCTAATATTTTTAAAGAGCAAAATGTTGGAGTTCTTTTATCAGGACAGTGGGATATTTGACTTATTCTGCTATTTTGTATGTTTTTAATACTATTTCACTTTAGACTTGTTTTGATTTAAACCATGCCCTGTGTTTTGGTACAAAGTATCTGTTTCATTTAATTTTGTCAGTTTCCACCAGTTACATTTGCTTTAAGGAAATTTAAACTCCCTACATCCTCTTCATGAAAGAATATAAATGAGGGAAACTTTAATTTTCAGAAAAATCCAAGTGTTAATTTTTTTTTGATTTTTCTTGACACGAGCAATGCATTTTACTATTTCCATGAGAACACAAGAATCACAGCAACAATTATTTCGACTTGACTTTGGCACTTGTTATTTAGTTGAATTACTAAGTTAAGAGCAATGCAAATGGTAAACTCCAATTTCTTGTCTTGAACTAAAAATAATTAAAATTGAATAAACCTTTTTCTTGTTTGCTTATTCAGAATTCTGATCATAAAGATAAAAATGAGAAGTTTATTTGCTTCCAACTGAGTCAGTAAAATTACAGGAACAAAACAGGTAGTAACTTGTGTATTTAAAATGCAACCTTCTAATAACATAACTCAGTTTTTTTCTGAAGAAGGGTCTAGGCCCGAAACGTCAGCCTTCCTGCTCCTCTGATGCTGCTTGGCCTGCTGTGTTCATCCAGCTCTACACCTTGTTATCTCTGTTTGCATATAGACATGATTTGTTGATTAGCAAACTGGGATGTATTTAACTCTGACTTTCTTTTTTACGGGAATCATCCAAATATTTTGTAAATGTTGATGAGAACTGTCAGTGTAATGTTGTTCCTATGCATAGTTTTGAATAAATTTATAGATGTGAAATCTTGGCTGTCTTTATGCAGATGTTAATTGCGTATAATTTTAATACAATAACCATGGCCCATGAAGGCTAATGCATGTAAATGCAGTTAGGTGTTAATGAAAGCTGACAGCTTGTTTCATATTTGTTCCGTTTTTAAATATGTCGCACTTCAAGTACTGGTGTTGACCTGTCTCAGTCATTGCTATTAGCTAAGCAACAAAGCTGTGTTTATACATAGATTCATTTGGAATAATTGCATATATAAACAGAAATGATGATCCTCACCATTGACATGTGGATACATTATGTGACACTTGTCTTTGAATTTATTTTTGCAAATGCATGAAGAGTTTCAATTTTATGGTTTCTGGATGTGAAGACTTTAGAGAGGGTGCACAAGATTTGCTAGAATCCAGAGATGAGGGAATTCTGTTAGACACACATCCACACCCCTGTCCTCTCCCTTGGAAAAGAGGTCAAGTATTCAAACAGTGGATAGATAGAAACTGTGTTCCTATTGCCAGAAGTCTTGTAAACCAGAGGACACCAATTGAAGGTGATTTGTGAGAAGCTGCAGGAGACGTGAGAAGTATTTTTTTTAATTGGAGCAATTTAGTTTGGATATTGAAGCAACCATCTGAATTTGTGATTTGAAATATGGCTGTATCATAGCTTTCAAAAAGGAATTGGATAAAAGCCTGAAAAAGAAGATTGGAGGTTAAATAAGTGTGACTAGCTAACAAGTTTTTAGAGTCCTGGTGCAGCGTCAAACTGGATGAATAGCCTCTTTCTGTCTATAACCATTCTGATTCTTTTTTTCACAATTAAAGGTTAAAATAGTAAATTTAGAGTATGTGGGAGTTGAAATGTGGAATAAACTAAACCAAACTTTAGTGTCTTTGCATACATTTGATTATTGTTTAACATTGATAACTAGGCTTATTTGGAAATTGCATCAGGAAGAGAAATAGACCAAAATGAACATACTTCGAAGCCGAAGTCTGCTTCCTGTGTGACCTTAATTTGTCACTTCAAGATGTTCCCATCCACATATTTAACCTAAGTGTTACACAACTCCGTTTCATAGCTCAGAAAAGCAGTCTATAGTATTGCAAGAGATTTTGATTTTGTTAAGCTGATAATATAAACCTTTTACATCCCTACCATGTAAGATTTAGTGAAAAAAGCTAGTGCCTGTGCAGTTTGAATTTCATGAAATAACCATACAACATTTATTCCCAGAAATCAAATTTTGAGAGAGGTTTTTTTATACTTGAAGCTATTTAAACATCAGTAAGTGCAGTCATGTGACTGGGGTCTTGGATGACTCAGCTCAACTAGCGAGGTGATTTTGATGCTTCTAATCAAAATCCATGTCATAGAGGAGTGAGGTCCTTGGCATCATAAGACCATAAGAAGTAGGAACAGAAGTAGACCATTCACCTCAGAGTCTGTGCTGCCATTCAGTGAGATCATGGCTGATCTGATAATCCTCCGCTCCACTTTTTCCCATAACCCTTGATTCCAATACTGACTAAAAATCTGTCTATCTCAGCCTTGATTATACTTAATGATCCAATTTCAAAAGCCTTCCGCGGTAAAGAATTTCACAGATTCACATTACGCTGAGAGAAGAAATTTCTCCTTTTCTCTGTCTTTGAATGTGTGACCACTTATTCTGCGATTATGCCCTCTGGCCCTAGGCTCGAAGGAGAAGGAACCTTTCCTCATCCATTCTGTCAAGTCCTTTAAGGATCTTGCTTCTTTCAATAAGGTTGCCTTTCATTTTTCAATAGTACAATGAATACACATCTAATACACTCAACCTCTCTTCATGAAGCAGTCCCAATTAACTTCCTCTGGGTTGCCTCCAATTCCAGTAATCCTCCATAAGGTGAGGGGCCCAAACCTGTTCACAGTATTCCAATTGTGATCTGACTAGTGCATGGTATAGCTTCTCAAAACCTCCCTACTTTTATACTCTATTACATTTGAAATTAAAGGCCACCATTCCATTAATATTGCCTATTATCCACAGTAGTTGGGTGCTAACATTTTGTGCTCCATGGCTGAGAATTCCTAAACCCCTCTATTCCATAGCTTTCTGCAGTCTTTCTGTAGTTAAATAACATTGAGTTCTTCTATTCTTGTCAAAATGCATAACCTCACATTTTTGCACATTGTACTTCATCTGCCAAATTTTTGCCCGCTCACTTAACCTGCCTGTATCCTTCTGCAAACTGTTTCATCTGCACCACTTACCTTCCTACCTATTTTTGTCTCCTCCACAATTTTGGCTAAAGCATGATTAAAATTTCCTCATTCAAGTAATTAATATAGTTAATACATGATATATATTTGTGGAGATAATTAATGTAATTAAATAAATAACTGTGGCCCCAGCACTAATCCCTGAGGAACACCACTAGTTACAGCTTGCCTTTCCTGAAAATGCTTTTACCATATCCCAGCTGTCTTCTATGTTTTGGCCACTCCTCTATCCATGCTAAAATATTACCTCCAATACCATGGGTTCTTAGTAAGTATCCACAAGTGTGGTACCTTACCAAATAACTTCTGAAAATCCAAATATATTATGTCCACAGCTTCCCCTTTATCTATCCTGTTTGTAACTGCCTCAACAAATTTCTAGTAAATTTGTCTGGCATGACTTCCCCTTCATGAATCCATGCTGACTCTGCTTGATGTTTTGCAGTTCTAAACGCTCTGCTATTACATCCTTTATGATAAACTTTAAAGTGTCCTCAGTAACAGACAGTTAAGCTAACAGATCTATAGTTAGCTTTTTTTTTGTCTCCTTCCTCCTTTTTACATAAAAAGGATTACTGTTTAGCCAGAGTGCATTTCAGTGGTTTCCTTTGCCAGAAGTGGCTGGGGTAAACACGTTTTCTCTCGCTCCTTTCTGTGGGTTTTACTTCAATGTTCATGCAAATAGATGATATAATATTCTAGAAGGATATACCCACAAGTCAGAGCAGAAGTAGACCATTCAGCCATTCAAGCTGATTGTGGAATTTAATAAGATTGTGGCTGAGTTGTTTGTGTTCCAAATTCCACAATCCCATCTACCCTTGTTAACCTAATAACCTTGTTAGGTAAGGGAATCAATCTATCTCCACCTTTTAAAAATATTCCGTGACCGTGCCTCCACGAGGCGCAATTCCACATTCGCACAACCCTACGAGAGGGGGGACAAAAGTTGATAGGGTTGTGCAAATGTGGAATTTTGCCTCAAAGTGGTGCAGG